CAAAGGTACTATTCTACAGAGACTTTAGAATATCTTCCCTTAAGATATTCTGAAAATAAATGCCTCTCCTGAGAGTGTGCTGGTAAGACCTTCTAAATTCATTTATATATTTATTCTAAGAAAAAGTACCACAAAGAGGATTTGAAAGTTGAACTAGGTTATTATTTCACCCAGCAGTCCATGCAAGAAGTTGGGTTTGGATTTTGTTGATAACCCAATATTTTATTTAATGAAGGGAGGAGTACATTTGTACAACATGGGGCAGCTTGGTTCCCTTCTGGTTTCCCTCCCAATAGTGCAAGTTGTTAGATGGTCTTCCAACAAGTTGTCGAGCTTCTTAAAATATCTGAACAATATCAAGTGGATTTTTTACGTTAATTGAAGGCAGGCCTGCCTGTATCCTTAGATAAGCAGCAGGAGTGCCCTGGAGAAAACCCAGAATTTTATGCTGGACTATTTCCTACTGAAGATAGATCATTTGCAGCTCCAAACTTCAACCAAATACAGAAGTTGCATAAGAATTATGTAATAAATTTGCCCTGTGAAGCTTTAAGTGTAGGGACTATTAATTGCCCACCCTTAGGAAAAAGTGGGGGAACCTGAAAAAAATCCCCACAGCATTCATTGAGAAGGTGAAAGAAGTGTGTTAACATGTGCCTTGCAGGGCAAGGATTGCAGAAATGAAACATGCCGATATTTGAAATGAGGACATTGCTCTATCAGTTGAGCATTTTCCACCAGCATTTGGCTCTATGATAGCCAAGGACCACAATTTTTGTTTTAACACAATTGATCCTCAGCATCTCAGAATGTCACAATATTCTGTTTGCCCAGCCTTCATTCTAAGTCCATTTTCAGCATCAGTCATGATTTCAGTATCATCAGACATTTGTGCTGATAGAATGAAATGAGGTTCTTCAGGTCCATAGACTGTAAAAGATGCCAGTATACAAGTCACACAAAGAAGCAGAAAATAAACAGCCTTGCTTAACACCTCTCAGTGGCAAGAGACAAGTTGAAGAATCTTGCTAACCCACTCTCACCACAGTGGCAAACTCAGTGTTGCTCTGAGAAGCCACCTCTTCATATCTGTCCTCCTAAGTTTTTCCTAAACCTAGATCTATTGATAGAACAAAAGGCCAAGGTAAGGTCAAATCAATGAAACAAAGATGCTTTTCTGTAGGAGCCGCAATGAGTCCCAATCAGGGCCTTCAAAGTGAAAAATGATCTGTTGTGTTGTGACCCCTCTGAAAGCTTCCTTTGACAGGGTGAGTTTTGTCAGTTCTTCCCAGTTCTCCAGGTTTTTGGAAACTGGATAAATAATGCTTGGTTTACATTTCCTAGGGTCAACACAAGGGTTAGCAATTATAGTGAAAATGAATCCTTAAGTTTTCATTCAGTTTTTCAATGAATCCTTAAAAATGAATGAATGTATTTGCAGCAACATTTGAGTTTTGGAAATAACTAAGTACAAGTAGTTTGATTAGCAAAAGCTGCTAAGTGCTGTTTGTCAAAACTAAGTGGAACCTGCAGCCAAATGTTGCAGTAGAAGGCTCCTGCTTGCTAGAAGGGTGAAAGGTGGCTGCTTTGGCCATTCATTCTCAAGGGCTGCTGGCTGGTTTCAGAAGAATCAGAATCAGAAGGAGAAAAGGGGGAGAACAAGAGGGAGCCTGAAATGTACGCCATCCCAAGACATCAAGATAAGAAAAGCAGAGGTGCTTATCTCAAGGTCAGACTCCCCAGGGGCACAGGCAGTGCCTGGGAATAACCAAGATGTACGGCTGGCAGGAGGGAACCTGGAGCAAGGACACAGACCAGGAGTCCCAGGCTCTTGAGCCCATGATGCTTCATCAGCAGGGCAGCCCAATTAGAGATCAGCAAGGAGATGTGCTCATTTTCAGAAGGCCCCTCCTAAAGGTATGGGGGCCAGGAATGCTCATAAGGAAGGTTCCTGGAGGTGAACATTAGATTGGGTTCAACAAACCAGTCTGTGCATGCTCAGAGTTTCCTTCTGGGTGTTTTGTCCTTTTTGGTCAATAAAGAACACTTTGCAAGGGAAAAGGTCTATGACTTTGAATGTGCAAAGGAGGAAACCACAGTTCCTGACACTCTCCAGTGTTCTGATCAGTCAGCCACACTTTTCTTCAGGATGCATGTGCTCTTGCCCTGCTAGCCAGTTTTCTGTTTGCCCTCAACAGTCAGGCACCCTTCCATGAAACCTGCAGTCCTCACTTGGCAGTTCTGGCATCTGTAGCTAGTGCCTGATAATACCTTCCTCTTGCTAAGGATGGTGCCATTTCAGGAGCATCCGTACCCATATCCAAATATTATCAGCACCCATATCAGCAATAAGGAAAACCATACATCAAAACCTTGTTGTAAGCCATCCTGAGACATCAGTGGCTGGACAGGGTACACATGTTTTGAATGAATGAATGAATGAATGAAACTGCTTCAAAACATTACAGATTATAATGAAATGAACTGATGCTTGGAGAGAGCCCTCTTAGAATCCATTGCTCCAGAACCCTCTTGTGCTTAGCCTGTCCTGTGAAGTGAGCCAAGCCAAAAGGAAGTCCACAAAACTTGTGGACCTGCAGTTACTCCACTGGCAACTTACCCCATCAGGAGCTGCTGCAGGATGTGAAGGAGGGAACCTGAGCAGACATGCTGGTCATCGTTCCCAGTGGCCAACTTTCTCCCCCACCCACTGCTGCCGGCTGCAGTGGAAGGCACTGAAGGATGGCATTGCTTGCACAGCGTATGGGAATCAGTTCCTGGTGAGCAGCCCACGAATGCAGGGCATGCTCACCAGGAAATCAGACAGTGGTCTGTTGCAAAGTGGACTGGAATCTGGGAAGCCAAAACCAGGGAAACTGACAGGTTTTCTGCACAAAATGGATTCCTTGTGCATCTCCCTGCTTCTATATAACCTTTCTAGCAGTTCTAACCTTCCTTGTACCCACACGTGCCTGCCCAGAGTCCTTTCTTTGGGTTCCCTCCACCATCTGAGATGTTCTGGATAGCTGAGTGGGAACAAGCCTACCTAGTGTTGACACCCAGCTCTGGAATGTTGTTGTTTCAGTGGCTTTCCTGGTTCCTTCTTTGATGCCATTTTGGCAACAGACAGAGGATTTTTTATTATTTTGAGGATGGGGTTACATTTTCTGCACACTGCTTTCATCCTACTTAGGGATTCATGTAATTCTGCTTACTGATTACAGGTTGCACTTTCATATTGTACTGTTTTGCAGTGGTTGTGTTGGCTTTATTGTAAGATACCCTGGGAGACTCTGAGACACATATTCTTGATTGAGTGAAGCTGGCTAAAGAAGCAATAGCAGAAGCAGACAATTTTTAAAAATGACCCTAGTGGTTACTGTTCAGATACTATAAGGGCATGCTAGGAAGAAGCTAATTATAAAAATGGAGAGTCTTCTGTTAAAAAATACTTCATTTTTTTTTGTCAGTTGTCGTCCAAGCTTCATTCCAGACAGACAGAATACAGAACTGAACTCGAGTGCTAACACTGTTCTGAAATAGAAAGCACGGCGCAATGAAAAATGAGAGGATGTTTCAAAATGCCATTGTATGATGCTTGCTGAGGATGATTGAAGCGAAGCGATCTGTAGTTAAGCAACACCCGAAAGCCATGATCCAGAGCCGTAAGTATGCTACTCGAGGCACTCGCATCTTTTCGTTAGTTTCATCACAGGAGCCTCTATCCTGTGAACTACTTGCCAAAAGAAAAAAGAAAACGAAAAGGCAAGGAATGTTGTCCAGAGCAAACTTCATCAGATGCATGGTGGGGATGGTTGTGATGGTGGTGGGGATGACACAAAAGCTTTTGTGGACTGGAGGCAGTCAAAGCATATTTTGTGAGGAATTTAAGTACCTTCGTGGTGATACAGGGCTCTTTATTGATCAAAGAACATGTTTTTACCCAAATTTTGAATACACGTCCTTGAAAGTCCTTGAGCCATTAATTTGAAAGGCTCTTACATCTAAGAAAGTGCATTTGGAAAACTGAAGTCTTTATTCTGAGCAAGTGCCGGGTTACTCACAGCAAGCATCTCATATCTGTATCGCTAATTCAACCCCAGAAAATCATTATGAAACCCTGATAGTGGGTTTCCATGAAATTCAGCACAAATTATTAATAGTGTATAATGTCTGATTAGATAGCAGCACACAATTATACATTTCAGAGTCAAATTGCAGAAATAACAAATGATACTTAAAAATTCGCAAGCAGCAATTTTAGGGAGGAAAAATGAAATAAATGAACCTGAAAACAGAGGATGAAATAATGCTTTACTGCAAACATTAACTTAAATTTTGTTGAGTAGAATTATTATAATGTCATTATATAGTTCTACCGGATCTAAGTTATTTGGCTGTGACTTTCATGTTTATATCCCCCCTAAAGAAATGCTACTCTGTGAATCAATTCAATGTAACATGTATGTAAAATAATAGAGTGCAATCCTAGAAATCCATTTGCACACATGAAGAGCACAGATATACATACCTGAAGGTGTTCAATGTGTCAACTGCACTAACAGTTAATGCACATGGCTTTTGAGGATTGTGACATCATACCCTAAACCGTGACAAGCCATATCCAGACAAAAATTGATCCAGCAAATCAAAGATACATTTTCAGGCTAAACACACACACCTTCTCCAAAGCAGTTATGGTAGCTTCTGCTTAACTTAGAATACTTAAATACTTAAATAAATAAAGTGTTAATGGCTAGTCAGCTGAGAATACAGCACTGAAATCAAAACAAATTTCCCTCATTGCAGAAGAGAGTAAATTCTCATGGTTAAATTAACATTTCAAATCATTCATTATACAGTAATGGATAAGTAACTTAAAAACACTAGCATACTAGTCATTTTTTAAGCAGTACAGCTTTCCTTCACAGTATTTATGTCCAGCTAAATTTCTGTAAAATAATTGTATAGATTACTTATTAAAATAGATGGGTACTTACCAAGATGGTAGTTACAGTTAGGGAGCGATTAGAGAGGGAATCAGTGATGTTTGCTGGTTTTCCTTTTTGATTTTCTGTCATGTTAAGGCCACTTGCAGGATCCCAAGTTCCAATCTATAAAACAGCACATGCACTTATATATTGTCCATGAGTTCTCTTTTGACCACTAGGGAAGAACAGGGCATGGCATAGGTTACATCTCCTAATGCTCATAATTCACCTTTGTGGCAGTTTCTGTTATCATTCTATTAAGAGCAGCTTGTTTAAAATATGATTCGTCGTACATCAAAATGTGACTAGCCAAGTGTGACTCTGGGGGTAAAAATGATATACTGAGTCCTGAGTGCTTAATTTTCCATTTAAACGACCATCCTCCAAGAAAGCACTTGGCTTTTGATGCCTGATAGCTCAGTGAAGATAGAGCTGCCATGCAAAGGCCAGCCACCATGGTGTGTATCTATCCCTTTCTCTTCTTGGTAATAGTGCAAAAGTCCCAAGCATATAATTAGGAAATACTGCCTGCATTTGGCAAGAATAGATAGCATTCTTTGCTGCTAGAAGAAAGTTTATGCTTCTTCCCATCATCCCAGGAGGCTTATGAAGTGGACGCTACTACTGCACTGCTCTTAGTTCTGAATTGCAATATGCCCATAAAGGTTTTTGACTACTACAAAAAATTCTGAATCATGTCAACCACAGTTGCGTCATGGGTTGCCCTTCCTATCTTTCCATTCATTAGGATTTCATCTCTGCATGATTTGGCTTTGGAGAAAATGGAGTTGCTTTTTTCCTATTCCAGAAATAATTTGTCAGAATTTTATTTATTTAAAATATTTCCATACTGCCTTCCAGGCAGGTCCCACCCCACCCTCAAGGCAGCTAACAAGCATAGAATTTATTATTATGAAAACACCAATCCAGATATCATAATAAAACAGTCAACATACATAAAACAACATAAAAATAACAATCACCAGCATGAAGGATCTGGTCTCACCAGAATTTTAAAAACCTACAATACAACTGCAAAATTGGGTAGTTTTTGTTTTAATCTACATTCTGGCAAACATCCAGGCCATGAATGATTTCCGGCAAACTTGTGGGGACATGATGGGTCCATCGGGTTCAGCAAAACCAGCAAGGCATACTGATATAGGTTGGGAAAAAGTCAAGCTCTTACATGAACAGAAACAACTCTTTCTTTCTGTCTTTCTTTTCCTTCCTTCCTTCCTTTCCCTTTTCCCTGGACTTGTATAGCTCTGCCTTGTCAATCTTCAAAAAAAATGTAAATCCTAAGGGCAAGAACTGAGTTGGTATTATGTGCTACAGCTCTGCTCAGTGACAAGTTTTACAGAGATATATTTTTCAGGAAGGTTGAGGCCCTGCTGTTGCCACTAAACTGGATGCAGGGCAAATCTAACAGTCAGTTCTTGCACTGACAACATGAAGCAGCAGCAGATCACAGGGAGCAGATCTTGATGGAAGTGCCATTTGGATATTTGAATCACAAACCCGTCAGTAATACATATAAGGCAACAGATACAAAACGCTGATGACCTGGGCAGCACTAGTTAAAATGCAGAAATCCCCTATTTAACCTTTAGGTGTGCAGAATTTTGACTTCCAAAATTATTATAGAAATGCTATAATAATAATAATAATAATAATAATAATAATAATAATAATAATAATAATCTACATTTGCCCTTAGCCGTTAAGGAATCGCCATTTACTGTAGTTATTCCTTTGGCTCTCTAGAGATACCCCTTCATTGCCATTAAGCAGTCCCGTTAGTACATTTGATCTGGCTTTCAAGACTGTTTAAGAACTATTTTTTAGAAAAGGAACACACATCTGTCTGGCAGGTCTGTTATCTAACACGTAATCTTTGGAGGTCCTGAGAAAAGGATGAGTGAAGTGCCAGCCTTGGGTTATGCCATGGATCCTAATGCACTGCTATTGTTAACCACTGAGGCAGTATAATAATGTTCCACTAAAAGCTGATTCTCCAGGAAAAATTAACCTTGTCACCTAATCTCTGGCTGTCAGTTTGCTTGGCACAAATGTCTTAATTCTAAATCTGCTTTAAAAGAACTGTGCAGGTTTGATAATATGTGCTTAACTGGAGAGCTGAAAACAACTTCTTCCAGCCAAGATATGTGCTGCAATCAAAATTACATAGAACCCAAATCAGATATAGCTTTTCTCTTATCCTATGTAACTATTATCATATATGTCTCACAATGTAGTAAGAAATTAATAAACATTGCAGACCTTCCAACATTTTGAAAATGAAAAACAAAGACATTCCAGTAAAGAGAGGACTGTACATGGGCAGGATCATGGTGGTGTAAACTAAACACAGACTCACAAGTAAGGAGTGTGCCACAAATAAGAAGTGAAAACTCAAAGTGCATGCAAGCAGATGGCTCCAGATAGCAAAAGAGGGAAAAGTTCACACTATATGGCAGGATAAACTGCGTATATGTGTCCTAAGTTGCAATTCATAACAGGTGGAAAACACTAAGTTTGTTTTACGGCTGTGGAACTCTTTCTTTCTTACTACCTTTTCTTTTCAGCAAACTTCCAGCACAGTTGAAGAAGCCACTTTTCTTTTTTCCAAAATTCATTGGCACATTTTAGCAATCAAGTAAAAGAGGAGAAGGAAGCCAGAAGTATTTATCTTATTTATCTCTTGCCAGTTGTAGACTTGAGAGAAGTACAGAGGGATACACAGCAGTGAAAGTAACTAACAATGGATGCTTTTCAAAGCAAAATTTGAGAGCAGGGAATTGGCACATATATTTAGAAGAGTATGTTATTCTCTTTGTTTCAGACTGCATAATGATATGATACCAGTTTTGATTTTGGTATCACCATAACTAAAGGCATGCCAAAGACAAAGAGCTAAGCTATCCATACCCATGTGATACCTTTTTTTGGTGGGAGGGGCATGAAAAAAGTCTAGAAAACTTGGGAGAGACCCTGGAGGAGGACAATGAAATCATGAAAATGTCCTGCAGATTTCCACGAGTAAGGGACCATAAGCACACAATAAAAGTCTTGCGTAAAGTCTTATCCTTTATTTCACTGTGGGCAGGTAATAATTGTCCACATGCAGAAGCAGTCTTGGTTCATGAATTCTCAAACTATGTGATGATCCCAAGATGTACAAAAATTTCATTTCCACTCATGTAAAGTCAGATCTGTTCTCATTCATACCTGTGAATGTGTCTGAGCACAGTTTGTGGCCAAATTTCACCTATTCCTGGATTTGCAATGCCAATACCCAAACTGCATATTTTTAAAACGTTCACTTTAAGCATGTGCATTCTGATGATAACTTCATACATTTAATAAGTTGGGGGAAACTGCATGTTTAGGTGGGCACTTGTAAAAAGTCTGCACCCCAATGTCTTTTCTCTTTTGATTGGGATGACAGGGAAAAGCTTGCAATCAAAAGCAGGAACGATGTAAACCATAATTCGAGGTGCAACTTAGAACCCTGTCGCACTTGAGCCTTGCCACAGAAATGCTAACCAGCAAAATGGCTGCCCCTGCCAGTTTTGACCTAGATGTCCCAGTGCTTGGAGAGGAAGAGAAGAAATCCATTTATCCACAAGATAGGTGAGCGGAAGGAAGCTACTAGGCTGGGATACCCACTTGCCCATTGTTAGAGCTGACAGTGCTGGTTAAATTTGGAGCAGCTAAGCATGTAGCTCCAATGTATAAATATGGAGCTACATACAAGCAGTCCAGTGATGCATGCATGTGTCTCTGGAGCAGGGATTAGCTTTATTCATGTAATTGGTTTGCTTAGCTTATTATATTTTCTATGCAAAACCATTCAAAATTTTGCTCTGGGACTTATTTATCCTTTCCAGATCCACAAGCCTGCTGACAAGTTTTTCAGTATTTAAGGTGGTTACTGTAAGACCGTTGGATAATCCAAATGAGAAAGAGGAGAAATATAAGCCCATACAATACTAAAAATTAATTTAAGAAATAAGAAAGCTATTTGGGGTTACAAATGAGTTCCAGCTCTGAAAAACTTGAAGACTAACGCTCTTGGCTATAGCTAATTTAACTTCCATACTCAAAGTTTGAAAAGTAGCAGCCTCTGATTCTTCTCCTCTGTCCTAATATACATCAGAGAGTTACTGTTTTTTAACAGTGATACAGCTAAGTCTTTTTAGTCCCTGGATTTAACATGTTACATCCCCACTCCACTTTCCTGCTTCACTTATGAAAGATACAAATAAGATTTCTCTTTTGCTACCTGCATTGTCATTTCATCATTTACAAATGTTCCTACATTCCTGCAAAGCTTAGAGCAAAACAGGAAGCAAAATCACCAGAAAAAACCCCCCCACACACAAAGCTGTTGGCCAAATAAATACCCTGTACATCTGCAGGTTCACATTTTAAGCTCACTTAAATTGTAACACCATCATAAAGAGAGGAATAAAGTGGATCTTGTTTCTGCCACCCAAGTGCTAAAATATTCACTGTGGTAAAAATAGTTACTGCAATATTTTCATTAGTTGTGGAAACAGTTCCCAGAGAGGCTTGCCAGGTGCCCACACTGTACTTTTTCAAGTGCCAGGTCAAAAACTTTCTTTTTTCTCAGACATGTTAGTCTTTCCATTGCTGTTGTTTTAAATATTTTAGCATCTCTTCTAGGTTTTACTCTAGTTTTTCCTTTTATTTTATCCTGCAGTTTCTTGCAACCATAGAACTGCAATTCTTGCCTTCTGAGCCTCAGAAATTGCTTCAGAAGTAAGTTGATTGATGTCATGGATGGGACACTTTGGAAGGTTTTCATTCATAAGGTTATAAGGCTATAAGGGCATTCATAAGGCTTTCATTCATAAAGTTGGAATCTACCTGAGATAAAAGCAGTCCATTCATTTGCTGTCCAACAACATGCTGTCCATTCATTTAGGCTTCATTTGTTCCTGTTGCTGCCATCGCCAAAACAGCTTCCACTACTGAATCATTAGCTGGGAGAAAATTTTATGATATGATTTCGTAGACTGGTGGTGGGCTTGGGATATGTATCCATAGATTTAAGGAGTGTACCTTGCACTTGGAATGAACCAAGTTATGCTCACTTGGTAAAGCCCAATTCTGAGTTGAGCTGGGAGTGAAGCAAACTGCCCATCATTATTTCTACTCCAAATTAGTGTCCAAGATTCTGAAATGTCTTTTAAAAAATAAAAATCTAATCTAAATGCCCTTTCTCCCTGACCCTCTCCCTGTTTCTCTGTGTTACTGTTTTCTGTGTACCAAGTAGCGTCTGTGTACAGCATCCTTCAACATTCTTTCAGCATTGCTTCCTGTGGACCAGTTCCCTGGCCTTTTAAGCACATTACTTCTAGATGCTATTTCCATGAAATGCAACCTCATTTTTTCCCTAAACAAAACATTCATATTCTTTGGGTTTAATTTTTATTGAGTTACAGATAATTTTAAATTTATTATACGCCATTTAACTAAAAACAACAAGGTTTTCAAATATGACAAAACTTATTTTTCCCATTTTCTCAATCAGTACCACTGCACACCATGGAATCACATGGGATCTACTTTACCTACCCAAGTTACAACTTCTATTACATTTAATAAATGGATTTGGTTACACTTTTCAATCTACATGGAAGTTTTCCCAGTGAAACCAATTTGCATTACTTTTTCTCAGTAAGCATTTGTGAAACATAATTTAAATTACCTAAATTTACACTCATAATTTAGATTTGGTTGTATTCCTTCCCTTCATTTATTTTACATTCATCTTAATCAAGCTTATTTAGTAGGTTTTCAAACATTCACATGGTCCTAAAATATCCAGCTGAACTGTTCTTTTATTTCATGCTTTCTCAACTACAAACATACATGGAAAACTTCACTATATATTAATTATTTTATTTAGTGATTGTACATTACCTTTCCTTACCCTGAATTTTGTGTATGTAGGAACAGATCCTCACAGTTGCCCACTGCAGCTTTCCCGTCCTTCCACTGACCCTGCACTGGCTACTCAATGCAACAGCCCTAATCATGCCAGCTATTTTGAGTTGCTAACATGTAGGCCTATTCCTCTCAAAACCGGTCATGTACATCTTTCTTGCACCATGCTCCTGGAGTGGAGTGAAAAAGGCTGCTGGCATCTTTTACTCACCCTGGCTGGCTTCCACTTGACCTGGGAGGACAGGTCCTTGACTGAGAAAGGAAGCTCTTGCTACAGAAGGTACCTAGAGACCATCAAGATGGGATCTGGCTTAAGGTTTGTATTTGGTATATCATGTACCTTTAGAGCAGCTATAGTATTTTCCCTAGTAGATCATCAAATTTATCCTTTGGTAGGTTTTAGTATCAATTATTATTGGATTGCTCGATCTTAACATACAGTCATCATGTGATTTTTAGAACACTTAGATAACTGTTTAAATTTCAGTTATGGCTTGCAACTGATGACAAAATATCTGAAAATGGTGCTGAATTTTATTATGCAATTTTTCAGATGTTGCTTTAAGCCACTTTGAGCAGTTTTACCATGGAGAAACAGCAAAGAGGCATATGAAATAGCCTTCCGAGAACATTTCGCCTGGTGCCCTCATTACAATCTTTATAGCGGCAGGAAAAAAGAACATTATTTTCTAGACATTTTAATAATTTATTTTTATTCTGTATAATTTTAAAGAAATTAAGTTTTATATAGTCTTTTAGTTTTAATTTATTATGTTTTAACTTATCATGCCTTAACTCTCAGCTGTATGGTTGTATATTGTTGTCCTACTGCTGTTATGAGTATTGTTGTTACATTGTTATTTTATTGGCATATCACAATTTTATTTTGTTATTCATTGTTGTGAATCGCTATGTTGTAATCTGTCTAATGAGACCTATGGAACTATTAGCACAGACTACAAGTTTACTAAATAAATGACCCTGATGATGATCAAGAAGAAGATTGTATTATTTGTTTTGTTTGTTTGTTTTCAGTTGCGCTTCAGTGCTTAGGGAACCTAGGGCTTAGGGCAATTAATTCTACTTTTTCTCTATAAAATATTTACTTAGATTGCCCAAGATAGAACTCAGCACTCAGACAAGGCTTAACTCTTGGCAAGTCTCTGCTGGTGCCTACATCTACAACTGTAACCACAAATAAGGCATTTCTCTGTGTGGATTTCTGATATGGATGGCATAGCTAAGTGAAGGCTCTCAACCTGTCTTTGATAAGTCATGAGAAAGGAGCCAGACTGTGTTTATGTGGAAGGGAAGACTAACTCTTTGCGGCTCACACACACTTTGATCATACCTTGTGTATAAAAACACCTGGCAAGGTTCACTGATGTTGCTTCCTGAACTCAAAAGCTATAGGATAGCATTCAAAGTCTACTAAGGATATACAGTTAATAGATGCATGTGGTATTATATCATTTTACAGTGTTTAATCCTTAAATCTGTTTATTAATCCTTACAGAAAACAATATGCAATTTCTGTAAGGATTAATATAACGACAATAGCATTCTATATATAATATTTCAGAAAAGTTAGAAACAAGTGGCCATTAGAATTTTGTGCTTGGAGTATACCTTTATGCAGATCACATGTTTTATCTTCCAGCTCTAAATTTAATGATTTAAATTCTGTTCTGGAGAAGTCTATTTACTTTGGTACCACAATGTCACATATCTTTGTGCACCATCAGAATACCTCAAAGAGAACATGTTCCAAACCAAAGAGATAAAGAAAATATTTTTTGAACAGCAGTTATTTCTCTTATCTCATATTTAGCAAGGATATGATTACTGGCACAACTTGGGACCCTTTAAATTTTCAGCTTTACTTTCTATAGTTTTCCCTATATATGTTCCTAACCAACTGGTAAAGATCATCAGAGGATGCCTTGCTGGTCATTCCAAAATTATCAGAATGTCACCACATAATATCTTGACTGCAAGCTTGCCCAGTGGTAGCACTCACCCTGTTGGACAAGAGGAGAAATCTAGAAAAATGCCCATAGTTAAATTTGTTATCTAGGACAGAACTCACTGGTGAACACAGAGACCTTGGAGGCTGCTTGTAATGCACCCCACATCTTCATACCACTTCTGACTATGTCGTACAGATCACAATTTATCATTATCCTTATCACATGGAGATGCTCTTCATCACCACCTCCTGGAAGGAGTACTAGTGTGAAAGTGTCCATTCCAGATAAAAGAGCTACATGAAGCTTCATAGAACACGCCTTCTGTAAAGGAAGCGTGGCGTTTGGCTTTGGAAATCAAACCACAGATTCTTTTTTTCTCTTCGATCAAAGTAGCTCTGTGTTTCTATGCATAGCACTTAAACCATGAAGTCCAATTTGGCCCTGACTTTCATCTTTTCATTGATTTACAACAGGTATGTGAATCTTGTTGTGGACTACAACTTGTTTTGGGCTAGAACTTTGAGAACCACTGTGTAATCCAACACGGCATGGCTCAGGAGATCCAGGCTCTAGACCTCACTCAGGCCATGAAGCTCACTGTGTAACTTTGGACCAAAGAGTCACTAGGGTGACTCTCATCCTAGCCTACATCATGGGATTTCTCCGAGGACAAAATGGCAAAATGACTAGGAGGATGACCACATGAACTACTATGGGTTCTTGGTGAGAGGGAAAAGGGTGGAATACAAAGGTATTTCATAACAATAACAACAACAACACCCTTTATACTTCATCATTGCTGTGGTGGCTAGGACTGATAGTAATTGGAGGCCAAAACATCTGAAGGACCAAGAGACACCACCTCCTGGTTTATGGTGCATGGTGTCTCAGAGGCAAGGAACTACCGTAGGCCTGGCTAAGCATTTGCATGATTCCAGTGCAATTTTTCAGGAACTTTTAAGCACGGGACAGCAGTGCCCCCTTGCTTTACAGCAGCCTGCTTTTTAAACTTTTTGGACTTTCAAAAGGGGTTTGCCATATGGCCAAGTCAAAAGCTCCCTTGGGTATTTCTAATGAGTTTTAGGTATTTTAATGAGTCCTTTGGATCCAGGTTTTTGGGTCACAGTCATTAATAACAATGCCCTAGAGAAAGCATATGCAAATTATAAAATTACTAACACGAAATGCAAGTTATACATGGAAGGCAACCTTAAATCTTTAGGGTGCAAAATGTATCAATGTTCATTCATTTACACTAATCAAATAGTATTTGTAAGATTATTTATTAAAACGGAGCCAAATATTTTCGCATAGTGTGGCTGCATAAATTTGTTCCTGTACTAAGGAGAAATGAGATTATTATATTGAATGAGATTATTATACTGAAATAAGATATATCAGTTGAAAGTAAATAGGCTGGAGTATCTTAGGTACCTTTTCAAGACCTTCCTCCTTAAGGCTAATCACATCTAAGTCAAAATCGGTCCTTAAGCCATTCGTTTTGTTGAACGTTATCCTGCCAGTCAGACCTTCCCAGTGAGCCTATGGAAACAAGGGGGGGAAACCTTTTCATATGTAAGCAATAAAAGAGAGAAGGAATGAATAAATTAATACTGACCCAAATGGAAATATTAATTATTCATAACGTTTAAATTATTTTCCTTGTGGCCGATAAGAAAAAAAATCTTATTCTTGGATTCTCAGCATATTTTGATAATTAAACCAACTTTTCCTTAATCTCGGCATACAATTCCTTAATAGCTTTCCATTCACACACAGAGAGGGTGGGAGGGGGGTGGGGGAGAGGACATCTTTCTGAGAAGTCTATGAAAAGCTGATATTTGAAATTTACACATCATTTCCTGTTTTAGAGGTAGGGATCTTGATTTTTCCTTTTCTCATCTTGGAAATATCAGTCATATAACACAGTGAGTCTCATTTGTTCCCTCTTTGTCAACACAAGCCCTGTTCAGGTATTATGTGATCAAACAGAGCAAACAAACCAGGAGAGAAAGCTCTCCAATCCTGCCCCTTCCTGATGAATTTCTACCACCCTGGCCTTGTGGAGGGTGACAGCCTGAACAGGAAAGTCCCCTGAGGCTGTGGAGGTTCCCCTCGTAAGCCTGAACATGGATTTTCCAGCATACTGAATCATATGGAAAGCCTCCAGGAATGCAAGAGACTCTTCTCTTCAGACTGTCACCCTCTATGAGGACAGGGAGAGGGATATAAGAAAGCAGGTGTGGTTACAAAAGTTTGGACCCTGTACTTGATGTTTTTTTATGGCCTTCCTTAGAGCACCTCAGAAATGACTTCAGTTATAAAGCAGAGAAGTAATTTTTTTCTTCACAGCTATGACTCTACGCTTTACAATTATTTCTGCATTCCTGATATACTAGAAGAGCAACAAAATTGTTCAGTAGCTGTGAGTCAAAACAAAACTGAGCCAGTGCTGTTTTGCATTTTAAATCCACTCAAATCTTAGCATCATCCAGTCTACACAAGTCAAATGTGTTGGCTTCACATGCCTCGAGGCCCTCATCACCTCTGCTCTCTGACTTTTTATTTTGGAGCCCACTGGCCTGCAGGGCCCAAGATTTTAGTCCCAGCATCTAATCCTAAGATGTTCCACAAGCAGTGGGGCAGAGCCATGGTGCTTCATGCTGCTTGTCCACCCTGTTTGGGTGTAGGACACCTGAACTAATGGATGGATTATGTGTTGGTGGACCTTTTCCCTCTGGGTAGGAAATCTGCTGGCATCAGTACTACACATAACACAATCCTTAGGGGATAAAGTGATAGCTATTATTTGGTAATACTCATTCTGGAGAACAGAAAATCAAAGGTGTTTGTCCAATTGTTTTTGCTGTTCTGATGGTAAGAGGAGGAAATGGAATAGAATTTTCTATGATGCAGGAAACCCAAATTCCAGCATCATTCCATGCCAAACAAATGTTTGGCTAATTAGAATGGCATAGAATGGTTAGAAATGATGCAAAGTTATGTTGGAATATATGTACAAGTTAACATTTTTTTTTGAACTTTCCAATCACTGGCGGCAGGGCCACATCTCTCTGCAAATACCTTGTTTAAGGTCTCGCTTCCTGCAAAACAAGGCATCCCTTTTTTGTTTGTTTTTGTTGCAATAGAACAGGATGGACAGTCATCTTAGTGGGATGGTGTAACTTGGTGTCCTGCATCAGCAGGGGCTTGGACCGGATGGCCTTCATGGCCCCTTCCAGCTCTATGATTCTATGATTCTTTGAACAACAGCCATTAAGGACTCATTTTGAAGCCCAGGAAGGCTTTCAAAAACTTAGATAAATGTAACAGTTAATGGATAACCAATCATTTAAAACAAGTCTAGAGGGTTGTATCCATGATCTCCTGCATACAGCCAGCATATGATTCAGCTCTCATTGGTTGATTTACCATGGAACACTTACCACACCCAACTTTGCCACTCTGGAGGAGTTTTTATTCATTAGCTCCGTATTAGAAAAGAAGTTTTGTGGAGGGAAGGCTCAAAAAGATCTCACTGTTTACTATGAAGCAACTGTAATATTATTTTGTGTGTCCCAGAGTTTGGACTTGAACCCATATTTATGTCCCATTGTTTATTTTTTCAATTTGCAACCCTTTTGTTCTTGTGCTTCCGCTACCATGTTAACATTTCTGTGCAACCATGCAAATGTACATATTTCTCTTGATAGCAAATCTCAAAGCAAATGGCATTGCAGGCCTGGCTTATTGCATTTGGAATATAGAGAGGAAAACAAGGTTTATCTCCAACGTACCTCTTTGATGAGATTCATGAAGCGGGTCCCAAAGCGCCATGGCTTGTGCCGATTGCACTGTAATGAACTGACAGTCATCTGTGGGAACTGCTGGACAGCAACTGACACCACATGAACGGCGTCATACATTAAAGCAGCATCTGTCTGAAATGAGAGTGTCATCGACACTGTGAAAATGACCCGCTGAAGGTGTATGACACACAGCAGAAACGGAAAGGAAAAGACATACCCTTCCTGCCTCCATTCTGAGGAAAGTAACAATAACGTGGTTGGTTTCTTAAAGATAAATATTGCTACCAAAAGTTAAACCTCACATCTATCCCCTTATACAGTAAGGAAAGCGTAGAAAGCTCAATCTGTCTTAAGATCCACATTAGGGGAAGACTTTACCCATTGACCTCCCTTCGCATTCTTAGTTTAGTTCAGGGGCCCTTTGCCTGCAATTTGCCTGCAAAAAGAAACATTGCTCATTTCTTAGAAATGTGAGCTGTGTGTGCAGTAGAACTGATCTGGATCCACATCACAATCCATACCAGGCCCAGGGAGAGGAAGAAACTGTAACTGCTAGCTGCGTCTTTAAAGTAACATTCAATCCTAAGAGCCTTGTGACACATCGCACTCTCAGAAGACAAAGAAAGTGGAGGAGCAAAAAGACTACACACAACTGAGTGAAGAAGCATCTGTAGCTACCATTATCAGTTGCTTATCTCCCCTCGTCACAATCTCCTTAGTGCTTTAGTAGGTCAGAAGCAGCAGCTCAGCATCGCTTGTTCGTTTAGTGAAAAGGAGAAATAAGAGGTGATAAACTATTGATTAGCAAAGGTAGCCAGTAGCTTCTCCTTCGGTGAATTCTTCACTGGCCGACCACTCACAGGGTGTGCTGCTCTTGCATGATGGTTTGAACACAATGCGGGTGCTCTCTCTACATCATGGATGTCACAGGACCAATTAAATATCCTGCTGATCATGCATAGCAAAGATATGCACAGTTGGCTCACTGACATTAACCCCCCCGTGTTTCAGGACTGAGCCCATTAATACTGCAGAAGTGCAAAGTGCAGTAGAAATCTGGTACTTTCCAGGGTAGCACTCAACATAAGCCCAAATGCTTCTTTCTCAACTGGGATGTGTCGGCGGAGCACTGTTCTGTGACCAGCACTGAAATGTTTTGCTTCAGAAATGTGTCCCTTGGCTCATTTTCAGATGATTTAAGAAATGTTAGCACCCCATCCCACTGGCAGATCAACCTGTGGGTGTGCAGGTGGCATTGGATACTGCCCCACCTGTGTTATATATACGCCACCGGAAAATATTAAAATGGCAGTCCAGTGGCTCTTGCATACATGACCACACAGCCTTTGGTCCTGACCTGAAAAGGCAACTTTTAAGATTGGAGGAGTGGAGATTAACCCTGAACCGCTTGTTTAAGTTGCTTTACACAAAAAGGACCTGTTGATCCTCCTTATTGACAAAATTAGTGAGCTGTGAAATGAGTTCATTAATGATAGGAGCCTGGAGATGACTGCATTTGTCATAATGCAACAAAATACAGAATGAACGTCTATAGTTCATTTCATGCAAATGAATCCTGACTCACTTTACAATAAAATGAAACATAAAAATGCAAAAGTGTTCTCTGCTGTTATAGATCCTCAGTTGATGCTAAAAGAGAAAACATACATTTAGATATAAATTAGCTTCCTGCGGTGGCATTTTAAACCAAAAAGGGGATAAATCCTGGGTATGAAACAGCTAATAGAACATTACCATGTAGTCTGGAAAACACCTAGTGCTGTACTCAGTGAAAACATCAGAGCCCCCAAATTGTTCACTGACTTCTAACTCAAAGTGCTTTTAAGGCTAATTTGATACCTTTGTAGGAACCAATATATCTCCTGAAGCTTGACATGACATGTTGCGTCTGATCATGTAAGTTAAGATTCTGGCAGCAGCATTTTATGCAGGTTAAAGCCGAGACAGCACTCTTTTCTCAAGGAAACAATAAAACAAAAGGCTGAGAGGCAGAAAGAGAATGTTTCAGAGCTTTCTTATAACTCTATTTCATCACTCCATTTCTAACCACTTTCCTATACTAAGCTGTACATACTATTATTTTTGGTTATCAAATAGCAACCCAAGTCACTATGTGCTAAAATAAAAATTCTACACCAGTTTTATTCAAATTCAAGGCAAGAAAACCTGAGTTCCACAACCAGGTTATATTATGCACATCAAACATAACTTGAATATTGTATTATTTTGCATAATTTAATCTGCTTATTCTAATCATGTGCAGGGACTAGGTCCTGTGGGACATTGATGATTTTTCTCCAGATGACTGGAAATCTTATTTGAACCACAGCCTTTTCACAATTCCACTTTCCATGCCTGTTTCTAATCCATAAAGACCAGGGACTTGCTTTTTAAAACCAATGTAACTTTAACCTGCAACTGAATTGTATATCCAATACTGCATTATACACATGTGTGAATTGTAGCACCTTCACAGCCCTGCTAAAAGTCTTAACTAAATTCAGTCCGAACTAAGAACTATATCAAAAATACTGCCAAAGGCACATATCATTGTTGCGAGCCGAGGAAAAGTCACCATCCAATTCTTGATTCTCCTCCACTGCCTTTGCTAAAATGCCAGGACTCTGAAAGATGCATTATATGCCATTAACTCGTGATGCTTCCACGTTCTGCAGCAGTGTTCGCCATGACATTATTGCATGTAATTGACTGATCAGATAACATTTTAAAAAGTGAAGGCCAAAGAGCTACCATGCAGACATGTAGGCACACACACAGCCTGTACTTTCTGTAGGAACAGTGTTTAAAACTGCACAACACTGAGTACACCTGCTTTGTGGTTGAGGCACACAGCAATATGGATTGTGCAGGTTATTCATTTTGTTGTAACAGCACCATTTCATTACCTAATTTGAAACACACACACACCCAATTAGAATGAAAATGTGGGTCCTTTGGTTTATTTATGTATTTTATTTGTAGATTTCTTGCCATTTTACAGATTCTGAAGGAATAACTAAATTGCATCAGACTAAATGACCAATGCATAAGTCAAATAAATGATAGCACTCAGTTGCAAATAAAAGTGGTCAGAGTCCCAAACCCTATTCACAACCTCAGAGCATACAGTTACCTTCCCTCTTCTGATCTTCCCCCAGTGCATGGGCAATGGGAAGCTGGGCCCACCATACTAAGTAGAGCGTGTGAGCTAATGATGTCTGAGAGCCAGATTTCACATTACAGTAATCACAAAGTATGTAGCTGAGGCCTGCCTTTTCTTTAAGGGTGCACAAGCCAAATAAGCGTGTCCAGCTCCAATCCAGGCTCATAACACTGGGCAGAGAGTTCTACACTTCCCACCCTAGTGTTTTTTTCCTGGAATCAATTATTCCCAGGACACACAGCAGTTAAAAGGAAGAAAACCTTGGAAGACTATTTTTTCCTTTAAAAAAACAACAACATTCCACAACAAGGTAACTTCAGAGGATGAGAAAACAGTATTGGAAAGCTTAGTCCTGTTCTCCTTGGAGAAGGGCATTATGAAAGCAAGCATGCCTTTATTCTACACACTTTTAATCCAATTCCACAGGACTTCCTGCCTCTGCTTACACCTAGCCACAGAGAGAAGCTCCTAGGAGAGGGCTGGTCTCTGTGTGAGGATCCCCCAGTCTCAATGGCCCCTCCCACTTCCTATAATTCCATAGTGTTCCCAAAGTTCATCTGGCCCACTTCCACTTCTGCCCTTGAGCTCTTGAGCTAATTGGTTGCACTGCCTTCTCCAGTTTTTGAGCATCCTGCTCCTTCTCAACCCCACTGGAATATTCATCTTTGGAATCTGAGTCAGTAAAAGGGGCATGGCTGACTTCCCATGAAAGCACTTGTCAACAGGAGCCAACCCACTTGCTTTCAACAGAGGCTGTATTTCCAAATTCACATGACGATAACAATGTGCTGTCTTCTTGCCTCAACTTTGCTCCAAGTTACCTGCATCCTTCTGCTGTTAGTTCTTTGCTTTTCCAGTTATGTGAAGTGTCTGTGCATTGCTGATTTAAGGAGTTAAAAATATAAAGTGCATTTGAGATTTCTACTGAAAATTTCACAAACCCATGCATGACATTAATTTAGGATGCATGCTTCTTGTAGGTTAATATCCTCTCTTCCTTTAATACTTCAAAAGAAACGCGACTCCTTAGAGACAAATCCTACTATAGCTCTCACCATCACAAATCCCAGCTTCTTTAAAACCTTAATCTACAGATGTGATGTGTTCTTGAATTATCAACGTGAAAGAACAGTTCATTGCTCAAGGAAGAGACAATTAAGAAATAGCTAGCATGCGGGTTATAAGGCATACTGTTTTTCAATTAAAATGTTAATGGGCAAATGTGATTATTTTACTTAATTAATATTTTCACTAACCAAAACCTCCTGAGATACACAGACTTGCGTATAAATATGTCCTGATGAACTATTTATATCTTCATCATGGTGATATTTTAATGGATTGTGTGGATAAACTCCTCTAACAATGGGGCAGATATGATTAACAATGTTAAGTTCTTTTTGGCATTTATTTTTATCGATCACATCTTCAGTTCTTTATTCTAATACTGATAAATCTATACAGCAAAGCAGCCCACACAAAAAGCAGGTTTTCATGACACAACAAGCCCTGGTGGTTTCTTCTGTGGGGTGGTCTGTCATGTCACTTGAACTCTGTTGTGATATTTCAGCATGGCACATTTGGTGTTTAGAAACCATGATAAGAAACAACAGTCTGTCCTGTGGTTTTCACATTTTACCATGGTTTCTCTGATTGTATGAACAAGGCACCATGGTTTCCATGATCCTGATATTCTGCTACCACAGAGTCCCCTGGAAAGAGCACCTGCTGCTACAGAAGCTATCCACCATGGGACTCGATTTCCGATGAGATGGGATTCATGCCAACAACAGGAGGATTAAGTAAAGGTGGAAACCATGCTAGGTATCTGTCAAACATGTGCACATATCATGGAAACCATGTCGGGTTGCTTGAAGGGATATGAATCTAACCAATGCCTTATGGTGTAGGATTCCACAAAGTTTACCTGGCCTTGGGAATACAGCCA